GTGCCCCCCATTATATTGAAACGCAAAAAGATGTTCCAAGTGCCACGATCGTTGCCAAGACGGACCTCGCGGTGGTTAACCAGCCTCTCTTCGTTTGGATTCGCAAGTATCTCTGCGACTTCGGCGGGTATGGTGTACTTGATGGGTGGAGGAAATGACGGTGACAGACAAGACCAAGAGGTATCAGGGGAAAAAGGGGTACGTTGACATCGAGCTTCGCGAAGAGCTCTATCATACTGTTCTGGAGCAAAGGAATCGGGAGAGGTAATAGAGGGCACGTTGAGGAGGAGCAGGGGGGAAATCGTCGCAAAGATTGCTGGTAAAGTCGTTCGCCGCCCTGAAGCGAAGGACCTCGAGCTGACCAGGGACAAGCTTTCGGAGGGCCGCAGTTCACGCCACGGGAAGTGGGGGGACTCGAGCTGTCACCGACGGCATGGCGGTTTTCCTCGCCGTCGCCCTCGAATGCGCGCATTTCACAACCGGTGGTTGCGCCTCGATGGATCGGCACCGGCCAGATCTTGCTTGCAGCGAACCAGAAGTAGCCCGCTGAAGGGACGCGGGTGGGTCAGCGGCCCTGGCGCAGAGTTGATTGCGCTCTCGGTCTGGTCCGCACAGCTGCTCTGTCCCAGTGAGATGGCGGCGCACTCGTCGGCATCTTCAACGTGGTCGGCATCGTCGTCGTCGTCGTCGTCGTCGTCGTCTTCCGTCGTCGTCGTCGGCGTCGAGTGTCAAGTCTCAGATGCCCCCCCCTACATAGGCCTCATGCGCGCCTTCGCAAAAGGCTCGGAAGTGCGCCAGCCTTCTGAAAAGTTTCTTGAGCCTTCCCCGAAGACGCAGGACTTCTCTCTCAGAAGGCGGAAGGCCTTCTCTGAGAAGCCTCGCCGCCTTCCGAGCAGGCCCTCTCCCTCTCGTTCACCACCCCTCGCTTGCTGCCGACCGCAGGCCCCCCACCCCCCGGGAGGGTGAGCAAGCCCTGGGCGCCGCGCGAGCACTGGCAGAGTTGAGCCTTGAGAACCCGCGCTGGGATAGCCGACGCGCCAAAGCGGTGCGAACCTTCCGTGCGGCAAGCTCGGGCCGTGCCGACTCCAGCGTTGGCCTCTGACGCCGTGGGGATCGCGCAACCCTGAGCACTCTGCCGCTTCCATGATACGGTCGGCCTAGATTAGTAGGTCGACCCTGCCAAATCAAGGGTACCATTCTGTCCTGTGTCCCGCGACCCATACTTCCTGCATTCCTGTGGCATCGTGGCCCTTGGAAGGGTCTCGTGTCCGCCCGCGTTTCCTCTCCAGCACGCCCCGGGGGCGACGGCGGTGGCCCCCTCCCCCCCCGCTGGTGCGGCACCTGCCGCGGCCGCCTCCCCCGGCAGGTGGTGGTGGTTCGGCGCCGGTCGCTGCAGCAGGCCCGGGCCCTCCCCCCCCGGGTCGCCCGCACGGCGGCTCCCCACCATGCATCCCCCTCGCGCGGTCAGATGTCTCCGTCTCTCCTCGCTGTCTCTCTCTCTCTCTCAGTCTGTCTGTCTAGATGCTTCTCTCTCTCTCTCTCTGCCTCCCTGCGCCTCCCTTTCTCTCTCATATCTCGCTCTGTCTCTGTGCTCTCTCTATTTCTCTCCCTTTCTTTGTTGTTTCTCCCTCTCTCTCTCTCTCTAGTTCTCTCTTTCTTATTATCGCTCGTCATATATACATACATGTATACATACCTCTCTCTCGCACTCTCTCTCTCTCTCTCTCTCTCTTTTCTCTCTCTCTCTCTCTCTGTGTCTGCATATCCCCCCTCCTCATCCTCATCTCACTCCAGCCCCCCATTCTGTCCAGGGACGTCTCGCACAGGGCTGGCTCGCATAAGGATAATTCGCGATACCCACCTGCCAGAGAGACACATGGGCGCATAAACAACGACGAATCTACGCTTTCCGATTGACGTAGACGTACCGAGCCAGGTCTGAATGCCGGTACGAATTTACGAACATGTATTTGACGTAGACATACCGAGCCAGGTCTGAATGCCTCTTCGGCAAATCACGGCGCAAAGCGCAAGCTGTTGAGACACATACATGTCTTGACCCCCATCGACAGCTCCTAGAGAATTGCTGATGCCTGGCGTCCTCCGTATCCGCGGAGATCCGAGGGCTTGGGGCAGTGCCAGATCCTATGCGAATAGGTCTGCACCACAGGCCAAGGAGGAAAGAAGGCCGGTCGAAGGGCCCAGCCCTACGCAGCTGCAGGGCGTCGCGCAGGGCGTGTCCCTCTCTCTCCCTCCTCCTCTCTCCTCCTCCTCTCCTCCTCCTTCTCCTCCTCCTCCCTCCTCCTCCTCTCCTCCTCCTCCTCCTCCTCCTCCCTCTCCTCCTCCTCCTCCTCCTCCTCCTCCTCCTCCCTCCTCCTCCTCCTCCTCCTCCTCCTCCTCTCTCCTCCTCTCTCCTCCCTCCTCTCTCCTCTCCTCCTCTCTCCTCCTCCTCCTCCCTCCTCCTCCTCCTCCTCCTCCTCCTCCTCCTCCTCCTCCTCCTCCTCCTCCTCCTCCTCCTCCTCCTGCTGCTGCTGCTGCTGCTGCTGCTGCTGCTGCTGCTCGCCGCGGGGTCCGCACGCGGAGTGCTCGCGCGGGGGCGCGCCGGCCTCCGTGCGGTGGGCACGCTCCGGGCGCGAGCGGTGTGCCGCGCGGGGCGGGCAGCTGCGCTTTCGAAGCTGGGGACCGTCCTTCGTGAGGGCGGCCGCGCGGCCACGAGGTCTCCGCAGGAGGAGGAGGAGGAGGAGGAAGGGGGGGAGGAGGAGGAGGAGGAGGAGGAGGAGGAGGAGGAGGAGGAGGAGGAGGAGGGCGTGGACGTCAGCTTGCAGACGTCCAGCCAATCGGCAGCTATCGATTGGCCAGCGGCAGCACCAGAGGGGCTTGGCCAGTCGAGCGACCGACCCGCACCTGGCTCGACCGAAGAAGAACAAAACAGACGGTGCTCACGGTAGGTTCGCAGGACTCGTTTCGAGTCCTCCTATTCGATTCGGTTCCATTTCGATGGATTCCGCTTCCGATCCTATGAAACTTGAGATTCCGATTTTCGGACTCCGATTTCTCAACGAAGGCCTATTAGCTTGCCGATTCTTGACGATTGGATTTTTCCCGACTCGGCTGCCGATTTCCGCCGATCCGATTCATTTCGATCGCCGATCCGACTTGTCGATTCGATTCTGGGCTCTCCTGAGTGAGAGATGTGCCGCATTGGGCGAGCAGGCGCGGTTTCAAAACCAGTACGTCAGGTTTTCGTCGTGTCGACCGGCGGCGACCCCGCCGCCGGCGTTCCACGTTGAACGCCTGCGGCGGCTCTGAATCGGGCGATGTTGAACGATCGGAAGTTTCGGAAACGGCCGATGGTTCAAGGTTGAACGACCCTCGCGGGGTCAGGAACCAACGTGCGGGACGGCCCCGGTCGGCCCGACACGAACTTGCCGTATCTAGGGCCGAAGTTGGAGCTGCTTGTGGGGCACGATGCGTATGAGCGGGGTGCCGCAATGGGCACTGGCAACGCTACGCGAGCGCTGTCTCTGGGGCCGTAGGTGGGCCTTCCAGTGGGCCACGAGATGCATGAGGGGTGTGTTGCCGAAATGGGCGGGGAGACGCTACGCGAGAGCAGTCTCTGGGATCGTCGGTGGAGCTCCTTGTGGGGCACGATTCGTATGAGGGGTGTGCCGCAATGGGCACGAGAACGCTACGCGAGCGCAGTCTCTGGGGCCATAGGTGGAGCTCCATTTGGGGCACGATCTGTGCAGAGAAGCTATGCGAGGGCAGTCTCTGGGGCCGTAAATGGAGCTTCCGTGTGAGGGGTGTGCCGCAGTGTGCGGACAGACGTTCTGAGTGAGCAGTCTCTGGGGCCGTAAATGGAGTTTCCGTGTGAGGGGTGTGCCGCAATGGACGTGGGGACGTTATGCGAACGCAGCTCTTGGGGCCGTCTGTGGTGTTCCCTGCGGGCACGATCCGGGTTGGGTGGGGCTTCCTGTGGGCCGTGTGAGTGGTGTGCCGAAATGGGTAGGGGGGTGCTATGCGCTATGCGAACGGAGTGTTTGGGGTCGTTGGCAGTGGCCCTAGTGGGGTACGATCTTTGTGAGAGGTGTTGTGTCGAAGTGGGCGGGCACGATCCGTGTCAGCGAGGGTTGTGCCAAGATGGTCGTGGGACGCCAAAACACCTCGGGTTCTTCCTTAAACCCCTCTTTCAAGATGCTTTCGTGCACGAGCACACAGCGAGCAATCGACGCGCGGCCCGGTTGGCTTCTGCACGCGGCCCAAGTCATGACTGTCCAAATGAGTTCCAAAGTGTTTTGAAGTATTGTGGGGCCTCCGATGTTATTGGTTTGGGGAGAATGGAAGAGCCAGAGTGAGGGAGAGGAGGGTGAACCCGTTCAGGTTCGAAGGTGCAATGCTTCATTGTTGTATTCAATCGCTCTCGCACCAGAGGTCATGGGCGAGGATTTTCACGACGTGATGTACCGCAACATGATCAGCTCTTTGGTGCGGACCCTTATGTCGAAGGTCCTGCGAGCTGGCAAGCGTCTCTCTTCTCCGATTGTTTCATTATTCCCCTACCGAAGCCCTGGAGACTACAAGCTTAAATCGCCTCGCCTATTATGTTCATCCCTCCTTCTACCATTCCGTCGTCTTTCGCACTTCTCCCCCTCATCCATCCGTCTTCCCCTTCCTCGACCTGGACCCCGTTGATGAACCCCTCGTGCACGACCTCGACCTCACTCATCAGCGACCTAGACCTCGCCCCCCGCCGTCGACGACGACGACGAACGACGAACGACGACGACGAAGACGTCGACGACGACGACGACGACGACGAACGACGAACGACAAACGATGACGAACTACGAACGACGACGGCGAACGACGAACGACGATACAAAGATATGACAACGCGACGACTTTCGACGTCGACGACGACGCGGACGACGACGACGACGACGACGACGACGACGACGACGACGACGACGACGACGACGACGACGACGACGACGGCGGCGGCGGCGGCGGCGGCGGCGGCGGACGCGACGCGGCCGCCGAGGGCCACCGAGGGCTGTCGTGGCCTCCGAGGGCCGGGCTGCTGCTGCCGCCCAGGGGCGGCTTCCCTTCCCGAGCACGGTCGACCCAGAGAGCCTCGCCGAGGCCTTCGCGATCCGGGAGTTCCCCGCCCAGGCGGAGGTCGTCCGACGAGCTTCTCGGCCAGCCCGAACCCCACTGGCCCAGAGGATCGGGGAAGTCTAGACGCTACGCGTATCCCCACCAGCCCATCCACAAACGATGCGTAGGGGAGCTGACGGAAGAAAGGAAGAAGAGACGCACATAGTGAAACCGAGGGGGCAACAACGGAGAGCCTCGCCGAGGCCTTCGCGATCCGGGAGTTCCCCGCCCAGGCGGAGGTCGTCCAACGAGCTTCTCGGCCAGCCCGAACCCCACTGGCCCAGAGGATCGGGGAATTTTCGACGGGGCTGGGACGAGGAGGGATCCGTTCCAGAGCGTTCCGGGACGCTCTCAGAGCGTCCCGCGGAAAGCTCTGAAAAGGCCGCGGCGCCCAAGGCATCCTCCAGATCTGCTAGATCTCAGAGGTTCTCCATGTCTCCTCACCCGGATGTAGCCGCGTTCTGGCTTCGTCTGAGGGGACGAGGACAGGGGATCGGTTTTCGAGGATCCAGTCGGATGCCTAGTGGCTGGAGCAAGCGACAGTATCGGCAAGTGGCTCCCTAGTTGGCCGAAATACGAATTGCCACCAGCACCCAACTCTAGGATCACCCTGTGCCAATTTCCAAGCCTCCCCTTCAGGGCTGAATCTCGAGGTTTGGAGGGACGTTTTGTTGTCATCGACGAGGTCGAGGGCGAGATTGCCAACGATGTCGAAGCCGAGATCGTCGCCGTGGTCGTCGTCGACGACGACTGCCATCGTCATCGTCGTCGTTGTTGTCCCTCTCATCCCCCTCCGCCCTCGCGAGCCTATCTTTCTCGCCCTTGTCCCTGGAGGATCGAGGATCGAGATTTTTCAGGGGCGTTCGAGGTCCTCTATAGGCCTTGAAGATCACCTATGCAGACCTTGGCGGACTTCAGAGGACCTCTGACTGCGGACGGTAGTGACGTTTTTCTAGCTTCCGCTGCTGTTGGGCACTCATCGTTACCATCACTCGAATCATCACATCTTGATCGCCATCACCGTAACCATCATCACAACCAACAGCATCATCATTACCGTCATCACCATCGTGTTCAGCATCATCAGCATCATTATCATCATTACCATTGTGATTATGACCACCACCATCGCCATCACAAGTGGCACCTTCATAATCACCAACAGCAGCATCAGCATCGCCATACCACCATCGTTCTCATCGTCGTCATCCTGAACCTTCGCAGCGCTCATTCCAGCTCGCGCCTCATCACCACCACCACCATCATCGCCATCACCATCACCACCACCAGCATCATCATCATCACCACCATCGAGCCCCTGGCCCGAGGTTCCAGGGTGATGAGGGCCCGCGCTGAGATGCGTGGCCACTCTGATGAAGACTGTTCAATGGAACCCCATGTCTCTTTCAGACTATGTCAGACGACTGGAGGTCGCGCTACAGGTGAAGTTTGCGGACGTTGCCCTCCTCTCGGGCACGACGGCCAAGACGAGTAATAACCACCCCATGTACCATGAGCTGCTTTATCACGAAAAGTTCATGATGCTGAAGTTCGGCTGGGGAGGAGGGCGCGGGAGTCTTGCGAACAAAAGTTGTGGAATAGATAATGAGTCAATCGACGACGCTTCCGACGGTCACATCTACAAGGTGTCTGGACCATACAGAGTTCACTACACGGACGTATGGGAGCTGTACGAGTGAAGTCCACACATTTCGACTTTACCCTGATCGTGAGTTACTTCCCGCTCAGGTGTGCGGAGGCGCGAGGAATCCCACGGTATTAGACTACGGCGCGCAGGATGACGGAGACGCTGTTAAACATCACGGGTGGCACGCCGAATCGGAGCTCTATCGTAGCGTCTACAGACCTGAATGACGGGATGGGCATCCAGTCATGCGACGGCCTGCTGCAGGAGACAGACAGCACGAGCATTGGGCCATGCCGTCGCAGCTGGGAGCATCTGGCGGGCACTTCTTATCGATAATGGATTGAGGACGGCAACGTGGCGGCGGTGACAAGTTTCTTTCCGTGCGGCCCGACCTATCACGGACAAGAGCGCGAGCTACATCGACCACTTTGCTATATCGGCGCCGTGGCTCGTTCGGGTTCAGCGGTGCGCGATTGCCTGCGACCTCGCGCGACGAGTACGGGCGATCCCGGGTGTGGCAATCCCGGATCACATGACTATCGCAGCAGAGCTGGACTACCAGCTCACGTTCTCGGCGCCACGACAGAGCAGTGTTTCCTGGGATTTCTTCGCGCTCAGCAAGGCCATGAAGAATAAGGACGAGGCGGGGCAGTTCAGAGCAAAAGTGGAGCAGGCTCTCGAGGCGAAGCTTACTGCGAGCGGCTTCAACGAGGCAGTGGCTTGGATGCGATCGCGCACTCTTGGACCTGCTTGGATGGAACGAGCCACTGCTCTCCAACAGTGCGCTCAGGCACGATACCCTACAAGCAGAAAGGCGCGACCCGAATGGCATGCGCGCATGGCGCGTGAACGCGAAGCAGCACTACGGGCTCGCACGGCGACGGGTGACAATTTGGATGGCGAAATTGAGAGCGTCCGATGTTTACGACAGCGCACGCGACGATGCAAGGCAGCGAGGACGCGACTCCGACTCGAGCGCGAAGTTGATCTCGCGGACCAACTGGACCCAGCACTACGCTACACTCGAGACGACGAGGCACGGCGCGCGTGTTTCGAGATGGTGGGCACTGGACTAAGACGGGGAAAGCGCAAGATCTACGTACCCCCAGATTCCCAGCCTGACCTGCAGAACTGGACCGAGGATCTGGCACTCACGGGAGGTGAAGGCGGGCTTGAGGCAGCACGCGTGGATCGAGATACCCTCACCGAGCCGGCGGCTGAGATGGATTGCCCTTCTCTATCCGCAGATGGACCGTTGGGCCGAGGCGAATACGGACCTGCAGCAGATGATCAATAAGATCTCGTGCGGACACAGACGAAGAGCATCGCCGCAGTGGTCTATGCCAACAGTGATATGGTGCCTTATTATGCCGTGCCGCGAACAACGAAAGCAGGGAGATGAGCGGAAGCAAGTTATCGGACCTGTTCGACAAGAGTGCCGATTGGCACAGCTTGCTGGAGTACGTCAACATCAGAGGCTGAAGGCATGGTGGAATCTCTCCCAGACTCATCAGGTGAGCAAGATGAACAATAAGCCGAGAGCACGAGGAACTCGGTTGCTGCCCGGTCTGTGCATTTTTGGAAAAGCATGGTTGGGCACGAGGAAGCTACGCGATTGACTTGGAGCTACCACATGAGAGTCACAGCTATGTCAATGACAGATCTCGGGTGGGGGCGCTGACAGTTGGCAATGTTATCCAGTGGCGTCTGCGCGCCGCGAACCTGGGCCGCGTCGCGACAAAGCACCACGTGGTGGATGCTTTCGCCAGCGTTGATCATGAGCACTTGGGTCAGACGGTCATCATCATGTACACTCCAGCGGACGCGCATATCATGATGTCTCGCCACAGGCGATCGGCATGCGTGGTAAATGCGCGCGACGGCGACGGTACCTTCCGCAACAACAAAGTGGGATGATTCATGGGCGACACCGACGCCGCGACGAAGTTCAGGGGGGCGTTTGAGCAGCCGACGCAGGAGTGGAGGAAGGCCCTGTTCGCGACCTCCACGGTGCATGAGTTGACGGCAGGTTGCCCCATCGCGCAGAAGACCTCCGACCTCGGGGTACGTAAGTGTGCAGATGATCTTACTTGCCTGCATGTTGTGCCCGATGCATACAGCGCCGCGGTGCAGGCCGAGACCTCCGATCTGCACCTGGACGCCGCTCTGGCGCAAGTGGGGCCGGCGCAGAGTGGAGAAAAAAGGGCGGTATGCCCATGTTTCTTTGGTCGAGGACCCCGGCGTTCCATTCGAGCCCTGCACTAGCATCGGGTTCCCATGTCAGGTGATGTTCAAGCGACCTCGGTGCCCCTGGGGGCTCGGATCCATACCTCTGGACGAAACGAGGACATCACGGCCAGGTGTGCGGCTATGCGTATGGGGCGGAGGGGGGATGGGCCATTTCTGGCGAGCCTGCACGTTCTTTGATCGGAAGCGCCCGGCCTTCCAGAGCAGGGTGATCGGGGCCGCGGCTTCGGGCCTTGAGGCGCGAGTTCTGACTGGGGGCCAGGCTAAGAAGCTCGACTCTGCTGTGCGCTACGCGAGTGCACTGTGTCGGGGGATTGCCATCTATCGGCAGCTGAACGAGAAGGGAGAGGAAGGGCGGTGAAAGGTCATCACCATCTGCGCGGAAGCCGCCTGGAAGAATATCAAGGTCCCCCCCCCCCCCCAGCGTGGAGATTGTCGAGAGTAGGCTCCGGCGCTATCGAGCACTTGTCCGCCGACCCCACCTACGCGCGCAAGAGCTGGCCGCTGACTTTGGGAAGGTCTCTTTCGGGAATGCTGCGCCTCAGCAGTTCGCGCGGGCCCCTGCGTGCGCCCCAATCCCCTGCGGGCAGAACAAAGCCCCGGGCCCTGCAGTTCAAGCGCGATCTGTTCTATCTGGGGCGGCTCGGCGACGGACCCGAGTTTCTGGGCAACGTTGGTTGCGACTTCCCGAAGGACTTCCAGGTTCCCGAGCTGAGCGCCCAGTTTCTGAAGTTCAACGCGAAAGATATGCGGAAGCTCTGGTTAGAGGCCCCGACGGTTACCCCTATGAGACAATGCGAGGACCAGGGGGGGCTTCGGGGGTGGGTATACGCGTTCACTTCTCAACGGCGATGGCCTTGCGCGCGGCAAGAGGGTTCGGGCGGCGCACGCACTTTTGGCACATCAGACACATAGTTGAAGGGGGGGAACACAGGCGGCTGAACATGTTCACCAAATATACGGTAACGAATCAATGCCCATCATGCGTTTCAAAATTTGCGCGTCGTCGAACGGCGATAAAACAGATCACTGCTGCGCATCGCCATGGGCGCTGTATTGCACATAAGTCTACGTTGGATTATCCAGCGGCCTCCCTGCAGCAGTTTGTCTGTCCAGAAGCAGAGCGCGCACTCGAGCTCGGATCCCTGACAGACCTGCAGCGGCACATTTCGACGACGCACTTGCATCAACCTGCTCCGAACGTCGTGGCTGCTGGCCCAGCCCGCGGCAATCGAGGACGCCGCGCCCGCCCTGATGCCCCGCCGCAGGGGGGGGCGGCGGGGGCCCGAGAGGTTCCTCGGCGTCGGGGGCAAACGGCAGCTCAGGCCACCAGGAGAAGGGCAGGAGGAAAGACTAGAAGATGATGGACAGCAGCGAGCTCGACGACGAGACGTTCGAGAACAAGCAGATGCAGCGGTTCCCATCGGTCAAGATGCGCCTCAGTCTCAACCTGGCAATGAGGAAGATGCAGATCGATATCTTCGAGCTGAAGACGCCCCTGATGTCCACGGGGATGCAGGTGGCGGTGCAGGCGAGGGCTCGATTCAGAGCGCGGGTCAAGACAGCGGAGGAGGCGCCGACGTTCTCGCCCAAGGCCGACGACGAGAAGCAGATCAAGGAGATGGGCGCGATACCGGTTACGTGCTACGCGGGGGCGTTCGAGGGCCTGATCGACGAGGGAAGCGTGGCGGGCAAGAGCAGCAGATGGAGAAGTTGAGCAAACAGAAAGACGGCCCCAGCCTGGAGGACATGTGGGAAGCTTCACGTCGTGCCCCAACCACTTCGCGGTGCTCGCGGCGCTGGTGCAGGCGGGGGCGGATTTCATGCAGGGCGCCGCCCCCGTGGGGCATCCAGAGCGGCTGCTGCGCACAGAATGGCACGAGCTCGAGATGCGACGCACGAGTGGTTGAAGTCTCTGACAGACACCGCCCCCGTGTGGAATTGGAAATGAGGAGCCCAGAAACACCGGAGGATAAGAAGAGACGCGTTGTGCAGCTCGTGAGAAGTTTGAGCCAAGCCGCCAGTAAGCTTATTTTTTCCCCCCATCGATCCTCCCTTCCCCGAGCCTTCGCCCTCCCTTTTGTTTTCTCACTTGACCTCGACCTCTCCCCTTCCGAATGCTCGAGAGCCGCTGCTCACGTCTGGAACCGGAGACCAGGTGTTGGGTGGAGTGCCCAGTGATCGCCGCCCCTCGAGCGTGGATCTGAGGAGCGGTAAGCGCGCGAAGCTTTCTGCTGCTTCGACGGGCCTGGCTAAGAAACCTGGTCCCGAGGAGACCACTATGCCAGTAGTGATAAGGCGTGGCAATATGGCCATGCATGCGTTTTCCGCACTTTGGAGCAGCTCCGACGCGTCAGCTGCTCTGCGCTTGCTTCAGAGTGCACCGCGGCAGCAGCATGGCCAATATGTGCTGTGAGCTGCGCGGTGCATGGCCACGTGTCGCAAACTGACGCTCGGGTGTAGCCCGATCCTAGGGGCATCCGCTGGACGGGACATACGCTCGCCCCCTATGGGTTCTGTTCTGATTTGATCACCACCACCGTCATCACCACCACCAGCCCCCCAAGAAGAAGGAAGAGGAGGAGAACGACGACGATGCTGTGAACGGCCGTGACGGGGCCCGCCGCAGAACTCGACGTGGCGGCCGCTGGGCCACGTGCAAGCACAGCGCCAAGACGTGTACCAGCAGGGACAACAACCCCACGGGCCTCCTGGCCACGCTCACGACCCTGACGGTCCAGACGGCGCAGACCCGGGTTGTGTATGAACGCAGCGGCGGACATATGGGCGACGCCGTCAATCCAGCCGGCGGTGTGGAGGCCATCAGCAAGGATATCGAGACCTGCAGGGAGACGAGCAGCGAAATCGGGAACAATAGCTCCCAGGACGTCAAAGCAGAACTGCGCGCAATCGGATCGCCGACAGCCGGCGTGGCTCTCGCCCTCATCGCGGGCATCGTCATGTGCGACGTGGGGGGGGGCGGGGAAGTTGGAGCCCGCGGCCTTCCTGGCGAAGGTTCAGCCGGAGGGGGGATATCCGACCGTCACCAAGCAGGCTTTCGAGACGCACGTTCACTTCCTCAGGTTCGAGAAGTGCCACGAGCAGTTCATGACGAAGATCATCGTGGTGGCCGTGGAATGGGAATCTGCCCATATGCGTTGCAGGCGCTGGCCACCGAGGGGCGGGCCACTCACCACGTCGGCCCGGCGCCCAGGGGGTGGCTCGAGGAGGAGGCCGCCACGCGGCTCGAGGCACTCAAAGAGAAGTGCCAATCCAGTTTGTTCACGGTGCCCCCTTCCGTTCCTCCTTCTCTTGCTTCCTCCCCTCCCCCCCGAAAGCGGACGACGACGACGCTGCCGACCGCGAGGCCGCCGAGGCGTTTGGACTCTTCTAGGCGCAATCTCCCGGCCGGTGCAACGCCTCGCCGCCTCGGGGCGGCACCGTTGCAGCAGCGGCCCTTCGTTGGGGCGCGCAAGACGCTGGGTCCCCACCTCCGCGGCGAGCAGAATCGATTCATTATTGTACCCATCGTTTCCAGTTCTCTGTTTGACGGAAGCAGTCATCACCATCACCACCATCCTCACCGTCACCATCAGCACGGGTCCATCATAATCACCAGCAGAAACATTATCACTTCAATTATCCTCATCGTCGCAAACGCCACCGCAGTCACCAGGTCGCCGCGCAATCCCCCAGCTGCGTTCGTTGCAAGATCGTTGATCCGCCTTGGGTTTGCACGTGCCCTCCTCCTCCTCCTCCTCCTCCTCCTCCTCCTCCTCCTCATCCTCCTCATCCTCCTCATCCTCCTCCTCATCGTCCATCTCCTCCTCCTGCCTCCTCCTCCTCCGCCTCCTCCTCCTCCTCCTCCTCCTCCTCCCTTTCCTCCTCCTCCTCCCTTTCCTCCTACGTCTCCTCCTCCCCCTCCCAGGGCACGGGCCGCGCGCCCCCCGCGCCTCGAGCGGCCCCGCGCGCCCCCATTTCGGCGCGCGGGGCCGCGGCGGCTCGGCAGCGACGGGGCGGAGCCCGGACTGCGCTTCGGGGTGGGCGCCGCTGCCGCTCGTCGGGGGCGGCAAAGAGGGGGGTGGTGACTGGGGGGGGTGGATATCATGGCGTGGGCCATGGTAGTTCCCCAGATTTCATGGCGCCTCATCTTATTTCGTTACGTTCCTGGCCCCCCCGCTGGGCCGCGCACGTGCCGCCAGTCATGATTTGCACCCCCCCCCTCTTGGACACCCCCCTCTTGGCCGCTCCCGAGCTCGGGGAGGGCCATTGGAGCTGCGATGTGCAAACCGACGCTTAGGATGCTCCAGCCTACTTGAGCCTGGAGCACCAGGAAGAATTGCGAGCGCCCAGGAGAGTGCCGAAATTCGAAGGATTTCACGTGCCGGGTCCTGGGAGACACTCGCCCGACACCGTTTCGACACTGCTTCGATATTTTTTTGGCCTTTTTCGGGGTGCTCGAAATCATTTCTGTGATGGGCGTGCTCCTCTACACCAGGAAGATTCAATAATAGCCTAACAATATTCAGGTGACGATGTTTTGGGTTTATTTTCGACTACGAGTTCGATTATTTGTCCTCTTTCGTCCAACATCCGCCTGTGGGGGGGGCATGCCCGGCATTCGCCTGCGTATCTGAGCTTGGCAAGTCATAAAGAATTTCGCGACCCAGGGGCAAGCGTCGCAGGTGTGGGCGGGGAGGTCGTCCAGCAGGGGCGTCTTTCGCCACACCATAGCCCACCCGTGGAAATGCGCGTTCAAAATCCCCCCGTGTATAGACTTCTCTTGAGTAGGCCTGCAACAGCAGAACTCTAGGAGGGGGTGCTCGCCGCCGTCGGCCGCGTCCTTCATCCCGTCCGCCTGTCGTTCCCACTTTTCCGCCCCCTCTTCCCCGCCCTCCCCCTCCTCCCTCCTTCTCCTCCCGCTCCCGTTCCCGTCCGTCCTCCCCCACCCCATCATCTCCCTCCTCGTCCTCGTCCTCCTAGCCGCACCGCGGTGCAAAAAATGTCCTCTCCGATGGGCCCCTTCTGGGGTTCTCGTGGCGGTGGCGTGCGATCCTCCCCTTCTGCCTCCGCGACCCGCCGTCGGTGGCGGGCCCAGGGCGCGGGAGCGGGCGCCCGATGCGCTGTCCCGCGAACCTTGTGCCGCTAGTCTTCGGCCCTGCCGGCCGCGACCGCGGCCGAGGGAGCGGCAGCCACGGAGGAGGGGACGAGAATGAGGGGGTTCCAGGGACGAGGGAGGAGGAGGAGGAGGAGGAGGAGGAGGAGGAGGAGGAGGCGGAGGCAGAGGCGGAGGCGGAGGAGGAGGAGGAGGAGGAGGAGGAGGAGGAGGCGGAGGCGGAGGAGGAGCAGGAGGAGGAGGAGGGAGGGCGCCGGAGGGCTTCCAGTGGGCGTCGCCTAATGGGTGGGGGGCCGGCGCTCGGGGGCAGCGAACGCAGCGGAAGAGAGGGGCCCTGCCGAGGCTCCCGGAGGGGCCCTGCAGGAGGGCCCAAGAGGGGGCCTTGAGGCCGAGAGGTGCCCCTTTCTCCCCTCCCGTTCTTGATCCCCCCCTTCCTGTGTCATCCCCCCTTGGATCATCACCCCCCATCTGTCTATCGCCCCCCCCCGTCTATTTATCTCCCCCCCTCTGTTTCTCTCCCCAGGGAGGGCTTCCAGGACGAGCCGGGAGGGCGACCGAGGGTTTCCGGGACGGGGCGGGGCGGGGTCGGCCCCGTGCGGGCGGGGGGGGGGCGGGACGGGGGAGGGGGGGCAGGCGGGCTTTCAGGAGGGGGCCTGGTAGGGCCTTGCGCACGGGGTCCTGGCCGTCCCGGGGGCTTCCAGGACGGGGCGGGGGCAGGGGCGGGGCGGGGGTGACGGATGGGGGGGGCGGCGGCGGGAGTGGGCACGGCAAGGACGGCCTCCTCCTCCTCCTCTTCCTCCTCCTCCTCCTCCTCCTCCTCCTCCTCCTCCTCCTCCTCCTTTCATCTTCTTATCATGATTGTTGTTGCTGCTCTTTTTTGTTACTGCTCATTATCATGGGTACCACTGTTGCTCCTCCTCCTCCGCCTCCTCATTCTCCTCTCAACCCCCTTTTTCGGCTCTATCCTCCTCCTCCGTCCCACAACGTCCTGCCCCTCATCCCTTCTCTGCTCTCGCGCCGCACCGCCGGCCGCCTCGCCGCCTCTCCGAGGGGGGGGAAGCGGCATCGCCGCCTCGCCGCCTCCCCGAGGGGGGGGGGGGGAGGAGGTGGGGAGTGCTGGAGCAGCACGCGGGGGAAAACTCGCCTGAGCGGCATGCGTCGCCAGGAAGGACATGGTTCCAGAAGGAATGGGGGCCCCGAGGATCTTCGCCGGTCTTGGCCTGCTTGGGCCCTTCGGGGCCCCGGGACTGTCACACATCAATTTTGGATGGAGGGCCTTTTTTGGGGAGAGTCAGGGTCTAGGACCCGGTTCCCTCAGGACCCCACCTCCTCCTTGCCAAAATGCGGGAGGAGCATGAGCAGCAGGAGAAACAGGAACAAGGAGGAGAAGGGTGTGGACGTGGACGGGATGGAGGGGGTGGGATGGAAAGGGGGAGGTGATGCTGGGGAGGGGAGGAGGAGGGGAAGGGGGGGAGAGGGTATCCAATGCAAAAGCGGAGCGCGAGGAAGGAGAGAGAGAGAGAGAGAGAACAAAAAAAAGGGGGGGGGGAGTTGGCGGAGGGAGAGGTGCAGGGGCAGCAGCAGGAAGAGCAGGAGGCAGCCCCGTGAGCTCCGCGCCCGGCGGCCCCGCCGCCGAGAGGTGGTGCTGAGCGGGGAGGTGCTGGTCCGCAGGACGGACGCCAGCGAGGAGCGGGTCCTGCAGCCGGAGGAGTGCTTCGGCGAGGAGCCGCCGCCGTCGTCCCCGGCCCCCCTCGCGCTGCGAAGGCATCCCGACGGGAGGTGTTCCGCTATTTTCGGCCATCGGGGGCCCCCACCTAAAACGACGCGAAGATCGGGACAAAATCGGATCGGGATAACTCGAAGTCTCTGAGAATCGGCGGGTCTGGGGGATGTATTGGGCGCCGCGGCCGCTCCAGAGCGTTCCGGAACGCTCTGAGAGCGCTCCGGAACGCTCTGGAGCGATTTATCCCGATCCTAGCTCTGTTTTAGTTCCGCTATTTTCGGCCATCGGGGGCCCCCACCGGGCCTCGGGACCGTGGAGGCACGGTTCGGGGTGAGAAGCCAGTTCAACGGCACCGCAACGGGTACTTATTAAAGGGTAACCGCATGCCGATGATAATAAAGGGACCCCCCCCTTCAGTGTTTAGAGTTGATTATCGTCGCCCTATACAAAATACAAATTGGGCGGCGAGCGCTGAGGCCGAACTTCATTATCACCTCGAAACGCTATGTTGAGATAGTAACATCAAGCGATGTTGATATAGCAACATCCCTGAACTTGATTATCCCTGGGGTTGATTATCCAGGGAAAGTGAGGCACATGAGCTACCCTACACGAGCACTTAAAAACATCAATTTCCACAAAGCGTTTGTAAATCAAATCTAATACATTCGAAACTTGTTATATATATATATATATATATATGTTCTCGTCTTCTCTTATAATTATTATATTATTCTTCCTTCTTCTTCTTCTTCTTCTTCTTCTTTCCTTCTCATTTTTTGTTTCTCCTACTCTCCTGTTCTTCTTTTATATTTCTATATCTCCCCACGCTCGCCTGAACTTGATTATCCCTGGGGTTGATTATCCAGGGAAAGTGAGGCACATGAGCTACCCTACACGAGCACTTAAAAACATCAATTTTCACAAAGCGTTTGTAAATAAAATCTAATACATTCGAAACTTGTTTTTTTTATGTTTGTTATATTATTCTCTTCTTCTTCTCTTCTTCGTCCTGCTTCTTCTTCTCTTCTTCTCCTCGTATTCTTCTTCTACTCTCCTCTTCTTCTTTTATATTTCTATCTCTCCCCACGCTCGCCTGAACTTGATTATCCCTGGGGTTGATTATCCAGGGAAAATCTGATATATGACTGTGTCTCAAGCGAAATAAGCGATAGTTTGCGGATGTCTCAAGCGAAACAAGGGATTTGTCGAGGATGTCTCCAGCGAGATAAGCCATTGTTGAGGATATTTCTATGAAAACTAAACGCCAAGGATGTCTCAAAACGTGCTCGGCTTGGTCTCCTCTTGATCATCTCTTACTTCGAGATTCTGCTGAGGTCTGCTGGGCTACTTTTATTATCTCTCCCTGAACCCCGAACTTTATTATCCCCTAGTGTTTATTCTCACGGGCATGAAGTTACTTTGCAATGTTGCCGAAAGTTGCCACTCTAGGGCCTCTTTCTGGCAATGCAGCGTTGCCCGCATCGGGAAGGCTTGGGTTCGCTGGGTCACTGGCCAAAGTACCCGTTCGTGGAGTCCCCGTTTGAGGGGCGCTGACCAGTCCCGGGGAGGGGGTCCAGACCTCGGGGGGGCCGACGCTGCGAGCAAGAGCACACGACGTCGGGGGTGCCGGGTCGGCCTTGTGCGTGCCTTGGGCTGGCGTCCTCTTCCGGCGGCCGGCGCTCCATCCGCTCCCTCGCCGTTGCCCCGCGCTCTGGGCGCCAGGGGTGGTGACTAGGGGGGGGATGGCGCGGGCCATGATTTTTCCTGTGATGTCATGGCGCCTCTTCTTATTTCATTACGTCCCAGGCCCCCCCGCTGGGCCGCGCACATGCCGCCGGTCATGATTTGCACCCCCCCCTCTTGGACACCCCCCTGTTGGCCGCTCCCGACTTCCCCTGGCGATGGCGGGCGTGCCTGGGGAGGGGGCGGAAAAGAGGGGGCCCGACCTACTTCCGAGAGGGAGCCTCCTTTCCCCCCTCCCTCTACCCACTTGTGCGTGTGCGTCGCCAAGACGCGCCAGGGGGGGAGGCGCTCGGCAGGAAGTCATGGGGGCCTGGCGTGCCCTCGCAGTTCCGCCTCCAGCGTGCGCTGGCGTCGACTAGCGTCCGGTAGTCGACGACATACTCGGGGGCGGCAAAGAGGGGGGTGATGACTAGGGGGGGGTGGATATCATGGCGGGGGCCATGTTATCTCCCCAGATTTCGTGGCGCCTCTTCTCATTTCACTACGTCCCTGGCCCCCTCGCTGGGCCGCGCACATGCCGCCGGCCATGATTTGCACCCCCCCTCTTGGACACCCCCCCTCTTGGCCGCTCCCGAGAGAGGGGGCGGGTCACGTCACGACGCTGGCCCGCGCCGTCTGGGAACGCTTCGGAGTGGGCCATCCCCACACGGCAGGCGCGAATGCTGGCGTGGCCAGGGAGGGGGAGGGGGCGGGAAGGGGGGGTGGGGCCGGTCATGGGCGTGATCGCGAATACTGCAAACACGGTCCCCAGGTGAAACAGGACATGAACACACACACATATTTATATATATATATATATATAAACCGACAGACAGACACATATAGCTATGCATATACGTATATATATATATATATATGTATAGACGTATGTGTATCTATATATATATATATATGTTTTAAATATGTATTGTAGTGGCCTCTGGCCAGTGCCGCCGACTGGGGGCGCTCCCGATGCTGATCGGAATAAATGATTGTGCATGCTGAAGATACAGACCTCTTTCGAGACATCCTCATAAGATGAACGTGTGGAAATCGATTCCGAATCTTTTGCATCTTCGAGAATGACGCTCTCGCAAGAGTCACCATTGAAACCAAGAAATGCTGAAATAGTTCTTGCACGCCTTTTTGGGGGGGTGCTCTTGGAGGACCCCCAAGACCTCTGAATAAGTGAAATTATGGAAGATCCACTTGTCTTGCCACGTGGTTGCTCAAACGTAACCGTTTTGGGTGATTGTTGAGGCAGTCGTTTGCCTTTTGGAGGGACGTCTTGGAGGTATCTGGAGGCCTCTTGGGGGGCGTCTTGGAGGCAGTTCTTCTTGGGGGTCGTTTGGGACCCTATTGGGGGCCTCTTGGGGCCAGTTGGAGCCTCTTGCGGTCTCTTGGGGGCATCTGGGGGCTTCCTGGGGGCCTCTTGGGCCGTCGTGAACTATTCTTTGGCCGTCTTGGAGCCTTCTTGGGCGCCTCTTGGGCCCTCTTGGGGCTGTCTTGGGCCGTCTTGGGGCTGTCTAGGGCCGTCTTGGGCCTTTCTTTGGCTGTCTGGGGGCCCTCTTGGGCCGTCTTGGAAGCTGAGACGATTCAAGAGGCGAGTCCGCTCAAAACAGTAGTTTCCCAAATCAAGGGAATGGGTCAATGTTTGCCTCTTTGGGCCCTCTTTGGAGGCCTCTTGGCACACACACACACACACACATATATATATATATATATATATATATATATTATACACGTATAGGGTTACGGAGGCTAGAATCGTATCCATGCCGCCGCTCTGGCCCCCCTGGGTTTGAGGCGTGAGCGGGGTCATGAACAACATGCCGGCCGCATGTTCTGCATGCCGTATGCCCTTGGGGTGTTCTCGTCGCCACGGCTGCAGTTCCCTCGCCGCCGCCGCCGGTCGCTGCTTCTGTGGCTCTTTTGCGACATCTGTGGAGGCTCCCGTCGCCCCAGCTGGGCGCGGCGCGGCTTGAGGAGCTTACAGTGAGCGGCTTGAATAGGGAACACTTACTTTTCAAAAGGGGTTCGGTCGTTCCTTAGGTTTACATGCGTTATTTACCGATGCTTTTGCGTTATTTGTTATGTATCGTTCCTTATGCGTTATTCCTTGGTATAAAAAAAGGGGCTTCGTTCCTTATTTATCGTTCCTTAGGTCAGGCCGATGACTGTACCAGGATGGTGTTTGGGATGAGTCCGTAGTTGGACTTTGAGCAAATTCGTCGCCGGCCATCGTCGTTCCAGCTACCTAGCCCCAGCCAGCCGTCGTCGCAGTTGTCGTCGTCGTCCCTGCCGTCGTCGTCGGCCGTCGCCGCCGTCGTCGTCGACGCCGACGCAGTCGCCGGTGGCTGAGGCACAGCAGGGCCACATGTCTTCCAGGTCACCCGCACGGGCGCGAGGATGATCGCGCTTGGCGGTCGGGATTGGAGATGGTCCATTGTCTTGAGGACTTCTTGGGCCGCCTTGGGCTCTCTTGGAGCCATCTGGAGCTCTCTTGCGACCGTGCCAGCTCGTCTTTATGGCCTTCTAGGGCCTTTTGAGGTGTTCAGGGCTAGCCGCCAGCCCTGGCGGTGGGCCCGCTGGCCCTGGTCGCCAAATCCCTTCCAAACCGGCCGGGCTTGGCTCTCGGAGGGGAGTTAGACACGCGCACGAGGGGGTGGGGGGAGGGGCGAGGGCTTCTTAGAAGTACCCCTGCTTAGAAGGCGCGGGCCTTAGCTATAGATGTAGCGCTGGCGCCTTCTAAGAAGCAGCCTCCTTCTAAGAAGCCCTCCCCCCTCCCCCCACCCCCTCGTGCGCGCCGCCAAGGGAGGGGCAAGCATCTCATATGCCGGGGAAGCCCGAAGGGTCAGCAGATCGCCTCTCTGGCGGGCCGGTCGAGGGCACGAAGATGTGTACGCGCATGGCCAGATCGCAGGTCTTTCCCTGCTCCTCACGGGTTGTCGTCCACGCCCCAGTTTCCTTCGGGTGCTGCGCTGGGCCCAGGGGCAGTGTACGTGCCCCCGCGTCTCGATGTCATTCTAGATGCTTCGCGTATCCCCTTCGAGCCTATCGGGACATGATGCCCAGGGTAGCTGCCCTGATCAAGAAGGGGGGAAGCACGCTGTGCAAGAAAGGCTGGGAAGCCGTCATACCCAAAGAGGGGGAGGGGGAGGATGAGGATGAGGAGAGAGGAGGGAGGAGGGACGAGGAGGATTAGGCGGATGAGGAAGAGGAGGAGAAGGAGGAGGCGGAGGAGGGCGAGCAGAACGGCCAGGGGCATCTTGGGTGT